AGGGGATTAGTTTGCCAGGATTTGATTGCAAGGAATGTATTTTAAAACAAAATATGAAAGAGATTATTTGACTGCATCTTTTCTTCTATCTTTTGCGCTGATCGAGATTGGAGCAAAATGCTGAATCACATCCCTCAAATCTAAACAAGTTCGATTGTAGTCGGATTACAAGTTTTTAAATGCAGTGTTTAAACTAAAAAAGTTTTCTGCTTATCAATCGAAAAGCTCTCAAGAAGCTCTTTTGAACTGTTTTCGAAAATTTTGAAAAGTAAACGTTTGAAAGCCTTATTGCACGGCGAATTGAAGACGCGATTGAAGCAGTGCTCCAATGGAAAATCGTAGACATAGGGGTGGAACAGTATTGATACCCTTTATTGTGCCTCCTGAAATACTCCAGAACTGTGATGCATACATAGTTTTTGTTTCCGTCATGTAAGCGGAACTTTGGAGATCGAAGATGGAAGTTAATTCATTTGGTACAGTCTCCTATCGTTCATTTACGCAAATATAATAGACAAGAGGCCTTGACAATGGATGCAATACTTGAGCACCAAATGCGTCCTATAAATCTTCCACCAATGTTCGATTTGTGTTCATCAAGATATAAAGTACACAATCTCTTTTTCATCTCATTACAGATAAGCAAAGTGGGGGTCTGGGCTATGAAGTCTTTGTCAGTGATATTGCTGTCTTACATTGGCGTGCAGGAGCGAACTGACGGCCAGATAGGTAGAAGAATAAGTGTACCTTTGTATTAGTTAAGATGACAGCTTGCGATAATGTTTTTGGGAGGCTTTCACGATGTCCTAATGGTCTGCTCTTAACACCAGGGCCCTATTTACCAGTTACTTCTAACTCCTACCTCCAGCTATTGCGCGCATCACGTCACAGCGGTATTTGTGTGAGCGGAACAAGCGCACTTCACAAGATTTCGCCTGTTTACTAAGGCTTTAGCGAGATAATGAACCGTAACCATGAATATTAATGCAAAGAAACCGTCCTTGAGGGGGTCAGGCTACTACCAGCCGCCACAGCGGCTTACCCTATCCTATACTCCGAACATAAGCCGGCACACTACTCATCCCCGACATACATCACTATAATCGGACGAGCTGGTCACCCTATTACAACAAGTTAAACCTATTCCTCCAATGATGCAAAAGGCATGATTTGATTCCCGAGTTCATCAATGCGAATAAAATAGGATGTATCTGCTAATCCAATAACGATTCGAATGTTGGAAAAACTTATTCATCTACCGGCTAGTATGCCTGGCTTCGCCCGCTGGGCTCGACAGAGCAAAATGGGATTGGTGCGCGAACACAAGTTGTAGCTTGGTGAAGTGACCCAATTATTTTGAAAAAACTATCAAGTATTTTCTCACATGTCTTTTTTCTCTTTTTTGTCTTCTGTCTATTTTCTCACACACACTAGCACAACGTTATAATTGTCATGACTTTTCGCTCCTGTTTAGGCAGGTCCAAACTCTTCTGCCTAGCTTTGAGTAACATCTACAAAACTGGTTTTAGCTTAGACTCACAATGTAGTGAAATCACCCACTCCTTCATTGCTGTAGGATACGGTAGGACTTTTGAAAACAGTCTTGACCCAGCAAAGGCTTTATTCCTCTCCAGAAAGAATATCGAGTAAGCTGCAAATTTTACCATTAAGCCAACTCGAGTCGCCAACTATTTATATGAAATTTGCACTTTGTCGCAAGACTTTTTTTTAGTTATGCCCAGTTAAGCATATGTAACTAAACTACTCAAACCATTCAAAATGGCTGTGTAAACAAATTAACAGGTTGAAACTGCTGCAGAACCTTCCAGATTTTTGTAACTTCTTTCGCAATGAGCTATTTCACAATGGCCTGTATGCTGCAATTCCTACCGTTACTATACAATAATCAAGACAGTTCGGTAATTTGCATTAAACTGTAAATCTAAGCTGATGCCAGCTTTTCATACCTTAGTATGTACATATTACTTGTCGCTGAGCAACTATTTTTGGTGAAAAGAAATATAAGCGGTTAAAAAATGCGTACACTTTTGAGGCAGCCTGTATGAGTTTTACTCTTGCTTGCATTTCCTCACTCAAATCTTCCCAAAATAGCCACTAACTTGAACACAGAGGTTCCGTGCCGCTCGCTGACACGAATGATCACCAATCTTGGCTGGCATTCAAAGGAATGCTCAAACTTTATTGCATAAAGCACTTTGATCTTGTTTTTGAACTTTATTTTTTCCCTACAGTTTTGTGAAAGAAACATTAAACATTGCATGATACCGCATCGCTGCACAGTTGTGGTTTGTATCACACTTGCTGCGCTTCAAGGCAATACGATCACTGCAGGGTCCTGATTCTTGACGTACAATTTCCATTCAGCATAAGTTTTTATAGAGATGTGACAGACTCTCCCAGACACCACGTCGAACTTTACTTTTATGGCAGGCATAGCGATGGTATATGAGAGATTTATGCATATTTTACTACAAACCTAGCTGAAATGCTTAAATACACTGTAAATTCTGCCAGAGACGGTGCTTGGCACACTGGCTCACGGAGCAAGCAGCATACCGTTTTGGAGATAAAAAAAACAAATGCAACAGTTTTTGCTGGATTTGGTGGCCCTGAAAAAAATGCATATTTCAGTTTGGTGTGAGTACATGTAGAGATTGACATAGCTTCGTGCAAAATTGGAATCTCGGTAGCTTTAAGAATTATCTCAAGTAACCTTCTGATCACGCAATTCCATCGAAAACTCAATTTGTATACGAATCAAACAGTCGGAAAAATTCGAGAAGTAGCTAAATCTACATCCATCAATCCTACGAATTTTTGCGGCCCTCGTTCTTAGAAGCAAGACTTATCCCATCGCCTTTGTCGCCTGAACTTTCACCCCACATACCCACAATCCCCCCTCCTCCCTTCTCTTAAATTCTATCTCTATTCATCTTCTGGAGAAGTCGCGAATGCTCTGCTGCGTTACCGATCCCATTCTCTGCAAAGCGAACAACTTTCCGCTCCAATATGCTCAGAATTTTAGAAATGCGCCACGATAACAAAAAGTTTGTTTACGGCGAGAAGAAACCATATGACCGAAGTAGGGATTCAGGACTATGTATAAAAATCATAGAAAGGTTAACTGAACTAGAGAGTGGCAATTATTTTAGAGTTAGGTGGCTTTTGAGCCTTCTGTAGAACCTGAGGAGACTATATAAAAACATATGTTTCCCTCTTTTTACATAATTTTTATTTCTCGCATGATTCAATTTACATGCGAAACTTTACAAACTAGTTTTCGAAACATTTCAAACACTCCTCCTCCTCGCCTGATTACAGCCGGCGGTGTCCGGCGCCCTCCAAAATTTTGAATGGTTTGGCAATCTTGCTCTAACCGCGCGGTGGTGCGCGCCGGAGACATCCAACTTAGATATCTTCTTGTCTTTATGTTTGATTTGTTCAAGAGCATGTCGTATTTACATATGTTGCGAAGTTAACCGCGACTTCGTTTCCAAAACATTACCAGAACTACCTCGTGCCGAACCCTGGCCAGAGATACAAGTTGCCAAGAATGCATTTTTATTATAACTGACTATAACAGAGCAGGCCACAAGGCTACAAACCGTAATATGTTTGCAAAGAAAACTTTAACTAATCTGCAAATTAGCTTCTACCACTTCACAAAAAATCTCTCATGTAACGTAAAACTACAAACGCTCACTAAAACCGGCATTTTGATTTTCCTTTTCCATCTTCATAATGTTTAGCTCAAACTATTAAAGATTTGCCAGCAATAAAGCCCACCTTTGGTACTAACATAGCGATTCTAGGTAATGTAATAGACTTTCTCGTGTTGTCTCCTTTAACAGCTGTGTGACAGAAAGAGTGGCTCAAAAATAAGGATAGTGAAAATGATGCGAAGTTTAAGCATTGATTTAGAAGCAGTATTTGAGAACACTTTGTACGATTACCAAAGATAAGGATCGAGCTCAAAAAACTGTTACGTACATCCCCTTCTAACTTGGAAGCATTATCCATATCAACTGGAGGGTGGTGAGATTTTGACGCAGTGCGAGAGCACAGTTCCAAACTAATGCGACAGCCCAAGTCCGACCGCAAAAGGTGGATACTGAAATGAAAAAATCGCTTCGGGAAAAGGGCTAATTCCGCTTGCTTGACAAGTTTTAAAGTGGTTAATACATTGAGTATACAGGATTGATATGTCAAAACTTGTGAAGAAGACGGGATTAGAGTACCATACCCTTTTTTCAAAGCGAATTTCTCGTCAGAATCTACCTTTTTCGATCGGAATTGAACTGTTGCATCTGTTGGGAGCCATGCTCTCGCACTGCGTCAAAGTCTTACCATCCCCTGTTAACCTGGACAATATTTTGAAGTGAATGGTTCAAACACCTTACAAGGGAATGGTCAGAAGTCGAAGTGGCCAACCCATACAAGCTGCATACCATTAGATGCAGCATAAAACGCTGACTCTAAAACTGTCTTCCTTATCTGCAGAGCGCTTTTGTGGACGAAATTATAAGCCGTTGAAGGCCATAAACTTGCTAAGAAATTGTGCATGTAAAGTGCAAACTTGGCCGTACGAGCCATTCTTGGCTTAGTGTTGGACCGAAACATGCAACTAGGTCACATCATATGACCCGTACCTAGAGTTGAGCTGAAAGTGCAATAATGTGCCTAATTTTGCAATTTTTGTATACGGTTCTTTCGTAATAAAGTTGCTCATAACTTCGCTTACGAAGGCGCTCTGCAGATATGGAAGACAGATTTAGAATCAGTATTTTGTGCTGCATCGAATGGTATGCAGCTTGTTTGGTTTGGCCACTTCGACTTCTGACCATTTTCTTGTTAGTACGCACAATGATCCAGATTAATTGTTGATTGCAAGCAGGTATTCCATTCTTCCTCCATGTCAAACATCAAACTTCAAGTCTCTACACACTATACTAAAGATAAATTTTTAGTATTTGCAGGCAATGGCTAACCACTTAACAGTTGTCAATGATGGCACTGTCGAAACAGCAAATAATATTTGGTTTTTACAAAAGTCTATACGTTTTCTGAATTCAAAATCAGTCCACCATGACTCCTTTCAAAAGCGATCATTGTAGATACCAAATTTCGTTACATTCAGCAGATCCTTGGCAGTATCATACGTAATTGAGATATATTGAAGGTGCAAGATATATTGACACATGTCTTCAAAAATTCGTCGCTTGCTTGAAATATCATGGAAAAAGAAAAAAAAGGAAAATTCTACATCCGTAATGCTTCTTTCAAGTCTAACATATCAAAAAGAGGTACAAAAACGGGTAGAACTTCTGACAACTTACTGCCATACCAAAGGTGTGAGAAAAACAAATTTCCACTCCAATAAGCTCATATAAATCCACTCCCTCATTTTTGCAAGTGTTATGGTTTACTTTATTCTACATCCAATATAATTTCAGGAACTCGTCCTCTTCTCCTGCTAAAATAGTGAGTCGAATACCAGCATAGATACGTAATGTATCTCGTTTTCTAGGATTACGAGGAAGGACTAACTTTGAAAGCACCGAAATGTCCTTTCTGCAGACCGTGTATCAAAGTGACGAGGCAGTTCGTAGAACAGGACGAACCCGGGATGGCGCTTACGGAGGTATTGTGTTCGTAAATGATATTATTCTTAAGTATCTGCGTCTGAATTGTAGGCCATCCTCAAACTTGTAGGAAGAGAAGGTCCAGTTAGAAAATTCTTGACTCGGGTATGGGTGTTTATTTATACTTCTCATACCAAACTGATGATTACAGATTCTCGGGAACTCTGGAACACTTGTGTTAGGCTGCTCACAGAGACCCCTTTACAAATGGAGCATAGTATCTTGCGTTTACACCAGTCGCTGCTTCATGGAGTAATAGCTCATTATCGAATTTATGACCGTAAAACTAACAGTAAAAAATTTGCAGGAACAACGAAGGTTCTGAATTTACGGTACCAAATGGGTGTGGACAGTTCTGCGACCCACTCTAATAGAGTTGAAGAAAAAAGAAGAAATGATCGTTGTTGCTGGTCTTTGCTTCGCCAAGTAAAAGACTTTTTCTCTGACTGCTGTTCTTTCACTAAGATGAGGGAGGGTATATTTATATGCTGGCAAGCAAATGGTCAGAATTCATGGCTTTTCAACAAAAGCTACCCACTACATGCTGGTTCTAAAATTCGTTTTTTTCTCTTCAGAACACTTCCATTAACGAAATTTATGGATGCAACGTAATTCTTTGTGCAAGTGAAATATTAGCAAGTGTAAAACTAGTTCGGTAATGTTGATTCAAACATCACGAATGCCCTTTACTGTGAAAAGTCGTGAAATGCATCCAAAGCTTTACTGCAGTCTGCGTAGAGCCAGTCGATAGTAAGTCAAGCTCAGAAAAAATGTTCTCAACATTGCTTGAAAATACGCACTAGTACTATCTTAACGCAATAATTGTATACTTATGGTTTGGTTCAAATTTTGTACCTTTTTGACAGCTTCCATAAAGAATATCCTTGTAGTTCCTCCCGAGAAGCTGACAACTAAAAATCACAGATCCTTTCTGGTTAGCTTATAATTGTAATAGGTCATTTCGAAAGCGTTTTCAAATTGTCATAAACGCTGTAGAGTAAAGACAGGCATCCGTTTTAAGAAATACTCGATGTCTTTTTTGAGCAATTATTCTTTCAAATTGGCAACTCCTATGGTCAAAAATCGCCGGCATTTCGAAAATTGGCATCAACTGTCAGTTTCAGCAAGTTTTCAGTTCTCTTACCTCATTTTTTGGAAGAGCTTTGCTAAAAGATGATGGACGAAACAAAATGATTTATAATAATTTCGGCATCTCTAGACGGCTTTTTCGTACTATTGAATTTTCTCGTCAAAACAAGCCTCTAAAACTCAACCATCGATACAAGTCAATCGATGCTGCTTTAAAATTCTCCTAACTAGTACTTTTTATTTGGACTCTCTGGAGGCTTCGAGTACGAATTCATCAGAATTCTTATACTTGCGCGCTTCAGGCTTGACATGAATTGCGAAATTTGATATTCTAGAGCGGTAAACGCTTGTTTGCTGTGTAGTTAATGTCGGCAAAGATCTACTTTTGAAACTTACAACTTCTAAAACTTTCCAATGTTTGATGCATTCGTGTGTGACAAAACTCTGCAAAAAGCCTTTCGGAAAAAAATTGCCTTGTAAAATTTTAAATAGTTAACTGAATGACCAAAAAACATCTGCATTACTCCACCTACCTGTTATCGAAGCTCTCCCGACTGAGATCAAATTTCTTAAGAATGGCTAAAAGAATAGATAAAATTAGGTTTAATTTTGGAGATTCTTTCAGTAACCACAAACCAGGGTCAAGCGTGGGGTGCGGCACGCCACACCTGGGGGTCGTATTGAAGAGTCAAAAGGGGAGGGGGTCGTAGTTGGGTAATCTGATAATAGTAATAACTAAATAACTAACTAACTAACCAGTAATAATTCGTATCCCATCCATAATTAGCATGTCAATTAACCCCTGTAGACAAAGTGTGAACGAATTCTGAAGATTCAAAACATTAGGCTACCTAAATGAATGGGTCAAATTCCAACATGGTTAACTTTGTTTCAAAGGTGAATCAGCTATCCATTTTTGCACTCAAGACAAAGCACTGCTCCTTCTTTGTCCATCTCAGGAATCCCGTTTCAGAAGACCTGCAAACTGTGGAATTAGAAGCCAACCAAAATCTCGTTTTTCTCAGTTTTCGCTTTTGATCGCTGTGCTTTCACCAAATATTACTTAGAGCTAAGAAGACAAATCAGGCTCCAGACAGTTCTATGGAATCTACAAGGTTAAGTTATCGATTCATGTAAATACTGTCCGCTAAAAATGTTGTTTGATATAGTTAATGGGGTGCGGCACACCCCATTAAAAGCTGCGGCTGCCGCAGCTTTTAAGGGGGTGTGCCGCACCCCCTTAACTTGCCTTCAAAATCCAGAAAGCGCTCCATTGCTGGTATGAGTATTGAGTACATAGCTTCTTCTTGCTACATTGGAAATTTGGAGCCGAACGCCCCACCCATAAGAAAATTATAGCCCTTTCAATATGCCCATTCAGATCAAAATCAGCCGTCAAATTACGTGTGATTGTAAAGTGCAGTCACAGAAAATCGGGCGTACAGCTCTTACAAGGGAAGGATACTAGGTGACCGTGGCTTTTTGCACTGATATGTATACTAGTAGATGCGCCTTGAAACGCTGATTCCAAATCTATATTCATTATCTGCTGTGCGTTTTTCTAAACGAGGTTATGGACTTTTTTCCATGTTAGTTTCACTAAATTTAGGCGGTTAGAATCGTCAGTATTCAAGCTTTCTAGACTCGGATAAATCCGAGACAGTTTTTGTGAGCTTAATGTAAGGCTTTATTTTATTTGGACGCTTTTTGGAGTGTGTAAGTGACCATTCTAAAGATATTGTTGAATTCTGTCAACAAAACAGTGCAAATTTTGGTGGTAAGAAATGATTATAACTTCTTTCGGAAGAGCGCACAGCAGATTCCAAAGGCAGATTTGGAATCAGCGTTTCAAGATGCATTTATTGATATAAGCTTCATTGTAGAAGGCCACGGTCACCAAGTATCCTTTCCTTGTTAGAAATCTGAAAACTCTCTAGAAAAAGATGATGTCCTTCAGAATGTCACACTTTGAGGTCCAGAGGTTAAGAGGAGGAAGAAGGGATCGTTTGAGGGCTTTCATGGGAGGGGGAAGGGGTTTCGAAGGAATTGTGCCTACCTCTTTCTCAACTCTGGTAATGCTATCTTAGGTATATAGTTCAGGGGGGGGGGGTCTTATTAAGACAGCAATCAGGGAGGGGGGTCGTAACCAGCGATCGTGTGCCACATCCTTTGCTTGACCCTGCCACAAACTAACTGGATCAGATTCATGCTGCTCAACAGAGGAGAAAAAAGCTGCGTTGAATAGTTTTTGAAGCTCTTGCCTATCTTAATTTTACGTGATTTCACAACAGGTAGAAGAAAAAAATAGAAAACTTCCGAAAGGTTTTTTTTTTTGAGTTCGATTTCGTTTGAAAGAGGAAACTCTTCTCTTTAAAGCAGGACCTTTGTCATGAATTGGCATTGCAAAGTTCGAGAGCTAGGAGCAATTGAATGAAATCAAGATCAAGATCGGCATTTTTCAAGCTAGATCACTAAAAATTCTGCAAGTCTTTTTATTTAATAGAGAAAATTTTGCACATTACTGGTACTTTCCTCATAAACTGAAACAAGGAAGACCGAAAATTAGAAGCAAATAAAAACTTTTGAGCATGCTCAAAAAAGCTCAAAAACGTCACAGAAAAGACGGGAATCATATGGGTTTTGTTATCTCCTCTTTCTAGCTGAGCAGAAATCGTGCCAATTTAGAGCAATCTTGATTTTTTTGAAAAACGCAGACCCGGAATTCCGTATTATTGCAAAAATCAAAATTGTTCTTGATTGGCACGATTTTTGCTCAGCTAGGAAGAGAAGGCAACAAAACCCATGTTCATGACTTTCCCATCTTTTCTGTAATGTTTTTAGGCTTTTTTAAGCATGTTCAAAAATTGTAAAACTGAAAAAATTTTCTTTAGTTGCTTCTAACTCTCGATTTTCTTCGTTTCAAATCATAAGACAGGTAATACTGTAATGTGCAAAATTTTCTTTATCAAATAAAAACACTTGCAGAATTTCTAGCGATCCAGCTTGAAAAATGCCGATCTTGAGTAATTTCATTCACTTGCTTCTAGTTCTCGAACTTTGCAATGCCAATCCATGGCAAAGGTCATGCTGTAAAGAAAAGAGTTTCGTCTTTCGAACAAAATTAAACTCAAGAAAATCCATTGAGTGGCAAGGAAGTTACGATTTTTTGAAAATGCGGCGCAAGAACTTTTGGAACGACCTAATACATCTGTAGAGGAGCCCATGGTTGGTAAAAGCATTGCAACTTTTCAATCATACTTCTCTCAATTTCCACATGTATATGTTAAATTGAGCTAGTGCAAAAACGAGCGTGTTCGCAACTGCAGAAAGAAAAAGGATTATCTCCAAGTTATCACTTTTATGCGTTTCTGTAGCAGACTCCTATCCCATACTCTAAGATTTTCGGATTTCTTAAGCACTAAACATCTGAAGGTATTTGCAAACACTGTCAACAAAATATCATACACTTGAGCTTACATGCATAAACCTACTCAGACAATAATCCGAACGAGCGCAGTACCTCTACCGGCCGAGCGATCATGCCTCTCGCCTGCCCTCCTCTGAAGGCATGCCGCCCGCCCGCTAGAGATAACAAAGCGGGCGAGCGAAGTATGAGCGGTTCCACAACTTTGGCGAGGCGGAGCTGCGCTAGCGTGCCTTGCGTTGCGGTTGCCCTGTGCTGAGGCATACGTGATCCATCGATCTTTGGTGAAAATCACGGTCCCGCCTCGCCAAAGTTGGGGAGTCGACATTACCTTTAGGGGGCGACCATCGCACTTCTTTCCGTCTACCGGCCTATAGCACCCGCTGTTTACAGAACTCTACTGTTTTACAGCCTGTTGCCACTGCAACACACAATCTAATTTGCTACATACTTTGATGGTCAATTTATTGAAAAAACGTACAAGTAACAGCCCATGCACTCATACTACAAGAAATACAACACAGATTAAGATAGTTATATGTAATTCACTACGTAAGATACAAGGTAGGAATTATCCGTGGTAATCAAAGCAAATTTAGTTTATTTTCGGTAGAGGACCATACGATGGAGAAATTTGCTGAAAGAAAATAGAGTAGTACATACAATTCCCAAATTTTTGTGGAAATCGAGCCATGTAAAAAGTGTCGCAGAATCAACATGGTCGATTTCCAGTCAGATATCCA